CATTATTAGTAGAACAAATAAATAAACTGCGATATATTCAAACTAGGAAATAATATGAAAAAATACAAATAAAACAACACAGCTACATGCAACATGATGGATATCACAAACATAGTGTTGAGCAAAAAAAAAACCAGACCACCAAAAAAACATACTATTTGATTGCATTTATATCACGTTCAAAATGGGCAAAACTAATCTATACTGTTAGAAGTCAGGACAGTCATTAACTCTGGAGGATGATGGTATAGTGATAGGGATGGAACACAAGGTGAGGGTTGTGAGATGCTAGCTCTGTTTCTTGACCTGGGTCCTGGTAACACTAGTATGTTCACTTAGTAATAATTCATGAAGTTGTACAATTATGATTTGGGACCTTTTCTGTATGTATGTTATACTTCAATAGAAAAGTGAAAAAAACAAGGAAAGAAATGAAGAGCTAAGTGGTGAATATTTATAGAATAGTCAGATAATGGTCCTATATGAGGGCCACCCTGCAGGCAAAGCAAGTGGTTTCTCCTGGTAATGCTCTTGGGGATTAAATGGCTTCAGAAGTTCTCTAGTATACAAACATCTTCTTATAACGTAGTCACAGATAAACGACACATTATTTTTCACAAGATCTAAGAGAAAAAGAAAAAGATGAGACCTAAAAGCAAATAAAATAAAACATCAAACAACGTATTACAGAAAGCTTTTTACACCATCTTTGAGGTAATGCGGTTAGGACTCTTCTTCATTTCACTTTCTAATGATTCTAGAAACCAGTGAAACATTGCCAATGGAACTATTTACTCACCTAAGCATAGCTGACAATTCACAGGCTTAGCAAGACCTGAGGAAAACAGGCCTGTTACATAAAGAGAAAATGTCTTTGTTTTACATAAACATCTCCAAAGGCCCAAAATAATATTCAACTCAGCAAGTATTTAAGTACCATAACTATAACTAGCACTGTGTCGGGTATTGTGGAAAAAGACAAAAAGAAGGCAGATTTATGAGATGCTCTAATATAAAGACACAAGATTTATTAAACACAACAGCAGTAACAACTAGAGAATGATTCCAAAACAGGATATGGTGAGTGGGTTGTGGGATTAGAGTTAGGGAGAGAGAAAATGGGATAGATATCATGGAGCCAGTTGATAAAAAGCCTTGAATGTCACACTGAAAAGTCTAGATTAATCTATAAAAAACTATTTTACCTGGATCCCACTCCTCTAAAAAATTCTTGCATTTAATGATTCCTAGTTATTTTCCTGATCAACAGCCTGAAATAATGTCAAATCTGGATATACTAATGTTCTATTTAGTTAAACCAAGAGATATTTTGTGGAAAGTTAAGGTTGACTTCTATGACATCACCTCAAATAACTAGGAACATATCCCAAATATCCCCAACAGTCCCAAATAAACTCTTATTACTACTCATCCATATTTTTCTAAACACTTTTTAGAGTTTCAGTTTAGATTATCTCTTGGGGCAATAATTTGAATGAAATACTAGCTTTATTTGTCACACCCCCAAAATAATCTTTCAAGCATTAAAAGATATCCAATATCTAACACAGTGTCTGGCTCAAAGCAGGCTATTTATTGAACACTAGATTGTTAAATTACACCAATATATTAATCTTATTCATCTCTCTCATGATTAGGTAGACTTTGATCATATCCCTCCCTCAAACTCTCTCCAGACTGAAAAAACAACCAGAAAGGCCTTCCATCCTTTTGATCAATTTAATTGGGTTTCTAGGGACTTTCATCAGCTGTTAGGTTTTTCTTTTGAGGAGCAGCCACCAGAATTTTCTATAACTGTGGATGCAGATCCACTTTTGGTCTTTTACATGGCAAAGATAAGGGTTTTGTTTTGTTGTTGTTTTCAACATCCTTCCAGATGATGCCCACCATATTCTTGGCTTTGAGGACCACAATTACAACTGGGTCAACTTCTTCACAGAATGATCACCAGTGACTTTTATTTTTATTTTTTTACTCTAACAATCATATTGTGTATTGTCTAACTCAGAGAGTGATCAGATACATTAGCTTTTGAGATCATCTCCGGTGAGTATCCAGATAAATCTACAGGTACGCAGCTACTCCAGCTGAAGGAGACAGTTATGATTCCAGAAGATCCAAAGTGACTCTCTCACTTTTTATCATCAGTGACTATCTCCACTGGGAAGGCTTTTCTAACAATTCCCTTGGAGAACTTTGCTGATCTCTCTGTTGTGTATCCTGAGTGCCCTAATTTCCTTCCGTATCCTGTTTCAAAAGTTTTTAAATTGAGGGATGACATACATACATCTTCAGTGATTTCCAGATCCCTTTCTTGGGTCATAAGTGAGCCCATCATCTCATAAGCATGGTTAGGTTTGCATGACCTTATACAATGAAGTGTCTCTGACTGTTCTGCCCACTTGGTCCCATGAGATCTTCCTGCAATTTATTCTCATCAATCTGTCTCCACTCCTTGCAGATAAGCTGATAAGAAACCTGAATGTTCTGCTCACTGAAGGGTATATATTTTATCTTTCTTCCTCTCCATCTAAGAGTTGTTGTAACAGCAGCTGTTTGTGTTGAAAAACTGAAATATAAAAATATGACCTACGTGGCCAAATCCCACAAGGCTATTTACTTCCTTATTTATGAATCAGAATCTGTCAGCATAACTTAGAATCTTGACTGTCAGCAGATACTGCAATTAAATGTCCCTGCAAAGCCAGCAGAGGGTGCACCAGGGCACTAGAAATTTTACCCAAGATGTAGCAGCATCAACGTAACTCTAATAGCCAATCAACTTTTCCTTCTTTTTTGGGGGGTCAGGGATGCTAAAACTAATATCCTCAAGATAAACGTGAGTTGAATCTGGGCTAAAATTCCTTCAAAGCATATTCCAGTTCTCCTGAAAATGAAGAATAAGGAATTTGTGGTTAAACTTAGTCTGGCCAAAACGTAGGTAGAGTAGAAGAAAATGATGCAGATCTGAGCCTTTTACTTTGTAAAAACTCTACTGTGGAGCTCCCTCCTACTCCCCCCAAAAAGGCTGCAGGAGGTATCAGGCTATAGGGGAATGGGCACTGAACTGGGAGTCAAGAAACCAATTTCCATTCTAATTTTGACCATAGTTGTATGACCTTCGACAAGTCACTTCCCTCTCAGGGCCTATGTATTCTCCAAGGGGATCAAACAAAATGGACTCACATGGCCCCTCACAACTCTAAAAAATTCTGACTTCAAATGATATCAGCAAATGTAAAGAGCAAGTATGCTTACTTCAACTGCTCAAAAAAATTAAAACAGGAAGAATAAAGGATAGACAGTAGGGAGCTGTATTTAAACCTAGACAGAACTATTTGAAGTGCCATGCAAAAGACAAGCAACTAAATGCCATCATAGACCTGTGAGAGTCTCACAGCATCACAGAAGCCCTAGAGTACAACTGTCCTGCTAATCTTCAGTCTATAAGCACAGGTCTATCTATTCCAAATGCCAAAAAGCCTTGGCCATCATTTGACTAAGGAAGTTCAATTCCTTCATCTTTTCACAGAATATTAATGTTTAGCTGCTAAATATTTCTACTGGGCATTGTTGGGGGAGGAGGGGTAGATAGATAAAGGGAGCTGGAATCCTAGTTAATTATCATTTAGCTACAGTGTTTAAAGTTTCAAGTATGAGAAGCATGTCTACTGATTCTCTTCTTTGATAAGCTGTTATATAAGTTGGAGTGTGCTAGCAAGACATTCTAAGGCGCAGGGCAACATTACAATGAACGCTGTAGAAAATGAGTCCGTCCTAACATTTCCTATTCATTATCATGAACGTGGCACCAGCTTTGAATGGGTGGTCAAGGTAGCACAAATAGCGTTTACAGAGTATGACAATGACTCTGGATGTGGCAGTAAATGCAGAAGACCTGGGTCCCTCACCTCAAGGAACTTATTTGCACAACTTGCCCTCTTCCCTAAGAGGAACAAATTCACTATTATTCTTTAATCACCTCAAAAGGATTCTTAGATGCTTCTCTTAAGTTTCACATAAGGCAAAATAAGGCAGTCAAGAGAACACTTATTTTAAGTGCACTAAATTTACTTGAACAAAAAGCTAGAAAAAGTAGAAAACAAGTACCAAAGCTAACAGTTGGCTAACAAAGTTACAAACACCACAAAGATTGCAAAAAAAAAAAAAAAACTGCTCTTGAGAGGTTACTCTTGAGTAATTATTCCATCAATAGATTCCTGTTCTCAAGCTAGCAGTAGCGAAGACACTTGACACCCACCCTCCCTACCCCACTCCCCAAAAAAGAGTCAGAACCGGCATGCAAAGGGTGAGTTTTATTTTCACAGATTTTTAAAATTGCTGTTCAGAAGTTGCCTAGCAGGACGGCATATTTCTACCAGAATTCCTCAGGGGCGCTGATCCTCACTAGAACACGGAGGACAACCAGTCTCAAATTGCAGGTTTAAGTGTGAACAAGCCCACGTTTTGGTCAGCGCACAAGGACCCGCGCTGAAAATACGATTAAAAGTTGTTTCAACGGGCGTGGAGCAGTGATTACAGCTGTTTACAGCTCCAACTCCAAAGGAGAGCTTGCTGGTACTGGCATCAGCTCTGGACACGAAAAAACAAGCACCGCGGGCAGAGGATCTCACCAGGAGCACAAGGGCCAAGTCGCTGCCGTTAGTCCGCCAGCGGGGCAGCGCCGGCACCTCCGCGCCCCTGCCTGGCCGGCCGGGAGCGCCGCCAACTTTGCCCGAGGCAGCCAGCGGCCGGGGGCGCCGGGGCCAGGCCAGCGTTCCCCCGTCCAGGGGTCCTGAGAGTGCCGGGTGAGCGGAGCCAGTGGGGGGGACAACCTGCCCCAGGGCGACCTCTCTCCCGCCCGCCTGCCCCCTCCCCGGTCCTGCCCTCCAACTTGGCTCGAGGTGGCAGAGTCTCTCCAGGGCGCGGGGCGGGGGGGAGGGGGTCTCCGCCGCCGCCACCCCTACTAGGTGACTCACCTGGTGCCCCTCCCGGGAGTCTGGAGGGAGTGTGGTTTCTCCGGGCTCCAGCGGCTGCTGCTGAGGTGACGGCTGCCCGAAGTGGCGGGTGATGGAACCGTCAGGGTCGAGGCCACCGGGGCTGCTCACGGTGCCAGGGGTGCCGGGGCCGCCAAGGCGGGACTCAGCTCCCCGTTCCCGCCGCAACTCAGAGCGCAACTCTAGGTAGCAGCACAACGTCAGCAGGTGGAGGGCCAGCGAGAGGCCAAAGAAACCCAGGAAGAGCCGGCAGCTGTTCGCTTCGCCCGCGCGGGCAGGGGCCCCGCGACAGCGGCAGCCCTGGCTCCCCCGCTCCCGCGGCGCTGCCGCGGACAGAGCTTCCCTTCGCTCTACCTCGGGGTAGCCCATGGCCTCCGGAGACACCGACTCTCTGAGGCCCGGGAGCCGCCGCGTCTGCCTCAGCCGTTCACGACCCCTGACAGGCGGCTACTGTCCTGCCATCGGCTGGGGGTGGCAGGGACCCGTTCCTGCGCTACGGAGGCTGGGCGGGACGCGGCAGGGAGCCGCCGCATGTGCAGCTCCACTCCGAGGGGTGGGAAACGGAGGAGGAGGGGCGGCAGAGAGGGTCGGCTGGCCCTTGGAGGGAATGAGGGAGGAGACCCGGGCCGACCCGCCCTATCCCTCAAGCGGCCGCCCGGTCGCCCAACCACCGGCCCGCCAAGCCGCGGCGCCCCGCCCCCTGCCGTTCCGCCCAGGGCCTCCAGCCGCGGGGCGGGGCCTGGGGGCGTGGGGGGTCGCCTCTGCCTGGCGGCCCCACCCAGCTCTTCCCGCTTGCCTGGTTCCAGTTGGTGACGGCCGCTGTCGTTCATCCCTGGACTCCGCCCCAAATTAACCCTTTAGCACCAGTACGGGGGAGGAGGAGGGAAGTAGGGGGAAGCTGAGAAGAATTTGGGAACCTTGGGAAGAAAGTAGAGCAAAGAAAAGGAGGCAGAAACTGGTATTAATAGAAATGTTTGCAATTAACTGCCGTTGTTAATAACATCATCCAGTACTTATCTGTTGCTTTCAATCTTCAAAGCATTTAACTGACGTTAAACTAATTAAAACAGTTCTGGGTTTGGAATGAAACCATGCCTGCTGTGTTTGCAATCCAGTGGCATGCCAAAATAAAAGGAGACCCAGGAGCTTGAGAGCCAAAGGGAGGGAGAATGGGGTGGGAATGAGGCAGCCCCACTCCTGGAGTGAGTCTGAGGCCTCAATCTAAGTGACAAAGTAGCCCACCTGTGCCTGGTGGAACTGAAGTGATCTTGCCTCACGCAGGGTGAAAACAGTCCCCCAGGGTTTCTTGATATATTAATTAATTCAACAAATATGTATTGATCTCTTTACAATGTAGAAAGTGCTGTATGAGAGAATCCACAGCCGGTGTAGTTCTCTTCTTCCACCAGAGCGGGAGTTTTGAGTGGAGAATACGGGGCTTCAATGAGCAAATGGGGAAACAGAGGTCCAGAATGGGGTATATTTTTACAAGGGTGGGCCACAGAATGGCCAGACAATATTGGCATCTCTATTTACAGGCAACTGTTCTGGCCTCTCCACCCCTCCCCTCCTCTCCCTGGAGTAGTCCCTGGGGGAAGTTCAACAAGTCAGCCAAATGTTCCAGATGTACACTGCTTCAGCTGCAGCATCTTCAACAACTGCACCAATCAGAAAAGGGTTCAGAGCAAAACAACAACAACAAAAGTGGAAAATGTCAGGACACTAGACCCTGAAATGAAGGATGGAAAGGATTGAGTGGCAACTGACAAGACTCACTAGTCTGAGATTATGGAGAGCTAGATGACCATAGTAAGAGAAATATGTATGCTTCTTGGTCACCATGCACTCTCATTCCCATGTTATGAATAATTAGCAGTTTTTTTGACTTGAAGAGGGTAGGCCTAAGATTTAGGCTGATGGAAAAGAAGAAAAATAGGGGGAAATAGAAAAGAAAACAAAAGAAGAGAAACAAGAAAACAAAACAAAGCATGTGGTAGGGAGGTCAGTCTAGAGAGCACAGAGGTCATAAACCTTAAATATATTAGCCACAGCCAACTTTTCTTCCAAACACTTTGTGAATGGTCTCAGTGCTTCAGAAACATCTTTGTGTCCCCTCATTGGCCTTTACCCATGAAATACACAGTTTGCCAACAATATCACCATCAGGCAGATAAAATTAAAAAGGGCGCTTAACAGCTAATTTCAAGTCCTGCTTGTTCGGTCTAGGAATTCTAGACTGGGTCTCTCTGGGTCACTCTGAGCAAGTCACTGTGCTTTTTGAGACCTTAGTTTCTCCCACTGTAAAATGACGAGTTTGAACTTGAACGGCTATAACATTGTGTTTTGTCTGTGTTATCACCGGCTGTGATATCCCTTAAAGTGAAAAAGGAACAAATAACAGCCATCTCCCGGTAGTGGTGGTGGTGTTGAGGGGCCTAATTGGTCTCAGCTTACCATGTTTTACCAGGCTTCCACCAGGATGCCGGAGACTCTGGGTTGCACCATTGCCCTCGGAAGCCCTGCAAGTTGCATTTCACCTGAGACCTCACTTTGGTTCCTTAGAGGAAGAACATATGGCCTCATATGCAGCAGAAATGTTGGAATAGGGCAATCCAGTGAGGAATGTACATGGTCATTTTTTAAAAGTGTTTGAAGTGTTGCTTCAGTTAGCTTCTGTGCTTTCATAAGGACCCCATCCCCTACAGCACAGGTCTCAAAATGACAGCCTGCAGGCCATATCCAGCAAACAGATGTGTTGTGTTTGGTGCAGTGTTGGCTAAAACTTTGAATTAAAAAAGAATAATTGCCAGCATTTAGAAATCAGGATATTTCACATTAAAAATGAAGATTTTCTGCTTCTCTACAAAAAAAAAAAACCCAGAAAACCTGCTAACACTGGATCCACATTCCCATATGACTACAGTCAGCTAGAACTGCTCCCTTGAAACAAGTGTGAGCAATCAAGTTCCACACAGTCATCCCCATATCCTTCCTCTAGTCTCCATTACTGTCCTTGTCACTCATTTACCTTACCTGTCTGGCCCCATGTACTCTAGGAGACAAAATATCACCTCCTTAGTATACCCTATAATCTGCCTCTCCAACTTCATCTTCTACCTTCCTACAAGGAACCCATACTCCCACAATACTAAATTTGTTGACACTTCTAACACGTCTGTGTCTTTGCACAAACTGATTTCTTTTCCAGGAATGCCCCCATCTTGGAAACCTGATAAATTCTTCAAGAATCAAATCATGCGTTTTCTTGGTGCGACCCCACAACTCACTCCAAGCAGATTTTCCTTTATGCTTTCACTGCACCCTGAGCATATGTCAAAGATATTACTTACCACATTGTGTTTTTAGTTTTTCACAAGCTTTCTCACCACCAAACTGTGAGTTCCTTGAAGTAAGGAAGGACCACGTCCTTTCCATTTTGGTAGTCCTAGTACCTAGCATAGCACCTACCACATAGTGGGCACCGCTATTGTTTGTCAAGTGAATGGGACATGAAGTCTGTGATGGTAACTTAGACTGCCTAGAATTCCAAAAAAGGGAACTAGGCCAAGGGATGCCTGTCAGTACCACTTATGAAGCCCCTACTGTGTGCAGAGATGTGTAACACATTATGGGAAGATATCAAGGAAATTGAACCAAATGACGATTGCGCAATTGTCCTCTTATTTGTGCTACTGTTGTTGTGGATAATCCAGAAAACTAAATAATCCAGAAATTGGCTTGTAGTACTTAATTGGCTTTCTGTCCTATAAAGTTCCCTTTCCTAATTTTGCTTGTGTGGGCCTAATATTAAAGTAATATTAGTTGACAATACTTGAATAATAAATATTCAAAATGAATTGACAACCTCTGGCAGAATATAATAAGGTGTTGGGAAGGCACTGGTTTTAAATACCTCTTAGCTCTGGTTAATCCACAGAACAAATCAGAGGCCACAGAATTGACTCTCTGACCCACTTAGTGATAAGCACACAGATAGTCAGGAGGAACATGGGCTTTGAACTTGGATCCTGGTTTGAATCCCAACGTATTCACTTACCAGCCATGTGACCAAGGGCAGGTAATTTTTGCCTGTCTTGCAGAGCCTCAATTTTCTCATCTGTGAAACAGAGATGACAACATATGCTTTGTAAGACAGCTGTGCTTAAATGAGATGCTATTTGTCAAAGTGTCTAGCACATAATAAATGCACAGTAAGTGTTAGTCTTTGCTGTGTAAGAGACTTCCATCAAAAAGAGATGAGAAGAAACACATACAACAGTACTTAAGAACATGGATGGCAAAAATGCAGAAAAGCACCTACATACCCTGCCCTTGTCAAATACCTGCCCCCTTCTTCACATTCTTAAAGTTTGAGATAGGACCCTTGTGTTTCCACGATCTTCTCCTGAACTCTTGACTCATGTATCCAAATTCCTCCTCTCCATTTCTTCTTGGATGTCTAATAGACATCTTTAACTCACCATGATCAAAATCAAAGCTCTTCTCCCCCAAAACGTGCTTATCCCTTGGCCTTCTGCCTCTCAGCAAATGGCAAGTCCATCCTCCCATTGCTCAAGACAAAAACTTTGAAGTCATTCTTCAATCCTCTTTTTTGAACACCCCACATGCAATCTCTCAACAAATGCTGTCGTTCTGCCTTTAAAATATACCCAGAACCTCACCACTTCTCCCCATCTCCCCATGACACCGCTAGTCGGAGCCCCATGCTCTCTAGATTACTACTTTAGCCTTCTCTTGGGTCTCCACTCTTTTTGTTTTTGTCCTTGCACCTGACAGTCTATTTCCTACCCTGTACAATGCTAAGTCAGATTCTACCATCCTCTGCTCCAAATCCTCCAATGGCTCTGCATCTCCCTCAGAGTTCTTACCTTGGCCTACAAGGCCCCACATGATCTGATTGGTGGGCACCTCATGGGCTCCTCTCCTACTACTATTCTCCTTGCACTCTGCTCTAGACACGCTGACCTCTTTGCTGTTCCTTGAACTTGCGAAGTGTGCTCCCACTTAAGGGTCTTTTTACTTGTATTTCCTCCTGCCTAAAATGCTCTTCTCCCAGATAGCCACGTGGCTTCTCCCTCACTTCTTCCACGTCTCTTCTCAGATGTATCAGAGAACTTTTCCTTGACCAATTTCCCATCACTCTCTGTCCCCTTCCTTTGCGGTGTTTTTCTTCTTAGCACTTATCACCATCTGACATATTATACATGTGTTTGTTTATTGTGTGACTCCCCTGCAGCTACAACTACAATATCAGTTCCATGAAGGCAGAGATTTTTGTCTGTTTCTGTTCACTGCTTTATATACCAGACCAAGAACAGTACCTGACGCATAATAGACTCTCAGTAAATGTTTGTTGATGGAATGACTGAATTCCTACCCTAGTAGAGTCAGAGGAAGGAGGAAGGAGGACTTGTCAGATGTGTTACTGGATATGCAAGGACTTTTCTTCCAGCATAGTAAAGCAGGAAAGAACAGCTCTTTCATTTTACATGAGGCAACTCTCCCAGAAAAGAGATGCAAAGGGCCACACAGCTAACTAGAGGAGGGGGTAAGAAGGGAAAGGAACGTTGGCCAAACATTTATCTCCTATGTGCCA